GAGGCTAAACTTTTTCAACGTGTAAATTTAAATTAACAATAACCAATACGTGTAGTTTAAGAAAGAGTTGTATTCGTTCAAGATAGTTTTAAATTGTTACTTATATCAATATGTATCAATATAAATGAATGTTTCAATTAATTGTAAGATCGTGGGTACATCTATACAATATGCATTGATATTGGTATATTCATTTAAAATGAACGATGGAACTTCCTTGGTTTATTTTAACTAGGATTTGTGGATAACATATCAATTTCTTTTTTCTCAAAATAAAATTATGTAATAATTTTTTTGAAGTGAAAATTCTTTACAATCGTTGTGATTTGAATTTCAATATGAAATTTCACTTCTAACATATTTACTCTGTACACGCGCACTTTTTTATCTTTGTAGCTTCCGAGTTATTAATTGAAATGGGGATAAGACCTGTTAAGTTGGATTTTAACTTATCTACTTGAATATGTTGTAGTCTCGAATTTCGTATAACGAAGAAATTTTAAGAGTTATTCAGCTAATATGTAGATTATTACTTATCGTTGTTTATTCGTGTTATCAGTATATTAATTATAAATATTTTTATTTTTATTTGTAGTATTATTATATCGTCATTTTAAATGTAACATTATAAATTAGTTTATTTAACATAATATAAGTATATGAATATTGTTGTATTATTTCAATGTATGAAAAAATCGTAAATAAAGGTGTACTAAAATAATATTTTTAATTTCCATACCTCCGTTTTTATTAAATATTTTTTAAATTTTATAAAATGCATGTATATATAAAACTTAAGGATAGCTTACACTATTATTTTCAGTAAATGTAAAAAGATGCTGACGAATTTCTTGCTTAAAATATTTTATTATAGTATGAAATTATTTAATTACTTACTTTGGAAGGTTAAAATTCAAAAAGCTTTCATCGCAAAGAAGGTCTGAAACTTAAAGCTGATAAGGTGTATATTGGATAGTCATGACTGGTATCTTTTCATTATAATAATTTTAAATCATGACCGAATTAATCCTTCATGTTTTAAATATACCTATATTTAAAATACGTAGGTATTTTTTTATGAGAATAAAAAATATCATGCGGATCACAGCGTCAGCATCGGAAATATAGAATACTCGAAATCCCTTTGAAAAATAGTAATAGGAATGCACAAAAGGTCGTTTTTATTAGTTGAGACTAAAGGCTGTAGTACTGAAACGACTTTCTTGATTCATTTAATAAACATTTATACCCTCGATCTTTCTATACAACCACAGTCGCGTCCGATTTAATTAATTTTTAAAAGGGCAGATAGGGATGACAATTGTCTTTGCATACCATAAAAATGTAACGAAGAAAAAAACAATGAATGTTTTAAGGGAAAAAAGCAATTGGTTGATTTTTGCGACCTAACGAATATAGATAGTTTTTTTTATCTGCCACCCTACTATATCACTTGAGAATCTATATCCAGTGATGTTTATATGGATCTGTTTACAGGTTTAAATCTGGATTAAATTTTAATCAGCAAAGTGTCCACGTAGATTAGTTTGAGCTTCTCATTGTGAGCGTTACTATCTAAATCGGCTTCACATATTCGTGGTTATCGACAAAATGGAAATTCGTAAAAGAGTAGGTAGAGTCGCGAACAATCTCATTATACCATTATATTATATAATAACCAGAACACACAGAACACAGATTATAGACTGAAATAGCATATAGGTTACTTTTTATCCCGAAAAATGTACGGTTCCCGTGGGATAGATTTGTTTTTGCTTTCCACAGAGCGAGTTATCGACTATCTATTCCATACTAACTGATAAAACGTACCGAACTCGAGCGAAGCGAGGGTGAGTCGCTAGTTTATTAATAACTTGACTCTACATAAGATGCACAGATGGTTATAAAAAATCATAAGAATTTGCGTGAAGTTTCTTTCTCTCTTTGAAAACTAAAATCATGTTTGCGTAATCCATTCTTTTTCCTAGCCTTGATTATGTTGAGGCTTTTGATATTGTATGAGGATGTGACCGAGGAGCTTATTAATAAATATAGAGCGTCTTCAAAATCTAGCTATAGACCGCATCTTCAACTTACGCAAGTATGTCATACCAAGTCACTTTCGAAGAGACTTGCACATCCTGTCCAGGCTGGACACTGGACATTTAATAATCTTCACGATCCTAACGCCCCTCCTTCGTTCCCGAATTATCCTGCTTCGATTTCAGTCTAAAAATGGTATTACACTTTGGCACGTCGAGCATCGATGTGACGCAAGATCGTCTGTTGTGACCACGGCTATCCTCTGAACATCACTATGAATATGTATTAAATACATTAAAATATATTATGTCTAAGTTGTTTATTCAATAGACGATAAATATTGAATAGTTAGTACATAAAAATTTCAGATGAGAATATTTTCTTGTTTCATACTTTTTAGAACGCGATTTTTCAGTAGTCGGGTTTCAATTTTTGAACTTACTTTTTATTTTAATTATTAATTACATTACTATAGCATAACATATTGTAATAAACAATATAAGCCCAAAGGAATGGTCAATTAATGGGACTTTTGGCCAGTAATATTACTGTTACCGCCTTCACCGCGTGAAGGTACTGCCAGCTTAGGTCATTATTATACACACGTTTTTTTTACATGTATACCATAGTCTATAATGAAATACGTCTTTATTATATATGTATTTTGGGTAGGTTTGGAGAGAAAATATGTTTGGCTCACATCTAAGGCGTGATTTTAGTTATTTCCAATTATCGGGTGTACGCAAACAAAGCCCTAACAACAGCTAACAATGTATGTATATACTTTTGAAATGACCTAATTAAGCCCTTTAATTTGATACCCACATGAAATAATAAAAATTAAATAGTTCATCCTCCGGGGGCGCCATATTCATAGCCTATAATAAACAGCGGACGATCAAGACGCATGCAGCGATACATCATTTGTCAAATTATGATAAGTAGTTTAGAAATTAGGAGTTATAGATACATACATACCGGTCAAAATCATAATCCTCCTTTTGTTTCACCGTAGTCGGGTAAAAAATGGATTTAAGCCATTAAAGGCTAGCAGCAATGTTTTATTCAGATTATGATAATTATAGTCCAGTCATATCTACATGTAAATAGATCTTATCTAATAATTTCTCTCTACATTTTAAACATAATTTATGACATTAATTTAAGACGTTATAGAAATTGTTAATGAACACAGTTTATTGTAGTAAGGTTGCAATTTCATTTCATAGAATTCATTTTAGAACCCGTCTGTGCTTTGCTCGGCTGTTAAGCACCCCAGGTACAATACTTATTGCAAATAGCTACTTGAGCGCTACTAGCTTTATACAATAAGTGATGTAAGTTGAATGGATGGTATAACTTTATAAAATTGAACTAAGTGATAGATACCGGGGACTATAATATTCGTGCCAAAAAATATGTTGTCGTATTGCTGCGTTTTTTGTTAAAGACGTAACTTACTTTTTAATTTATGATATTAGTTTTTTCTTCTATATTTTCTTTGATATAGAAAAGCTTATTCGGGTATGTGGTATACAATCGTTATCTTTACATGTATAATGCATCATATAAATATTATAATCTTTGTACCTTAGTTGCCCCGTCTTTGGTCAGTTGCCTTTTTTAATTTAACTGTGAATAAATGCTTCTCCAAATGAGTAATTTCACTTGCAATTTAATTCCTTGACGGATTTAATTTCGGATCTGCCAGAATACTGAATTCCAAAAAAATCCTTTGATTTTGGTGGTTTATAACTTTCTTGCTGTTTGAATTTCCAATAGTTTGGTCTGGTAATTGATGAATCTGTTAGAAAAAATATTTTTTATATGTACTTTTACTCATTCCTTCACTGAAAGACACAGATATGAAACTAAATTATACCTATAGAAAAGTATTAAAATTCATTAATTTTGATGTTGAAATTGATTATTAAGGTCTTGTTTACAATATGGATGGGAAATTTAATAGGGCTCACTGTACTTATTATATAGGATTTTTTTGTCCTAGAAAAAAAAAAGGATTCTCGGGGATCAGGTTGTGCTTATATTCTGTTATTATTAGGGAACTCATTGAAATTTGATTTAAAGTAGTCTGAGTGTACCTATCTACCTTATATTAAATACTGTAGAATGCATAAATGGATTTATATTTATTTCAAAACCGAAGAATAGATTTAAACACACTATTCTTTAATAATAAAAACGATTACTGAAGGTACGTAGTATAAAAACTGCCACACGATCAGCCATATATGTATCTTGAATAGTGCAATAATTGCTTTATCTAAGCATTGTTCGTAAAATATATCTAACAGTTTTTTTTGGCAATTGCCACTCAGGTCTATTATCAGTTTATGAATTTATAATTATTGCTCTAAGCTTATTATTCCTCTATTTTAAATATACAATTTGAGTTTTATATTCTTAGTTGTTTATTCTTAGTTGTGCTTTTAAAGTTTTCAAATATTTATAGTATATTATGGAATCTTTAATTTGTTTCCATCATTAAAACTTTACCAAATAAAATTGAGATTACTGAAGACTTATAAATACTTCAAAATACTTCAAAAATAAAAATATATAAAACTTACATGTTTAAAAGTAATTTAATATAATAGTTTCTAAATATAACTTTTAAATATCTAATTGGCAAAAGCTAAAAAGTTATAAATAAAAAAAACCGTCTGTGAGCGAGTCCGACTCGCACTTGTCCGTAATTTTATAATATATATTTTTTAAACATTCAAGCTTTATCTACACCTGACCTACTACATATTTTCATCACTCCCTGTTGTTTGAATTTTTGCTATCCACGCTCACTTGTGAATTTCCCTATTAATAAACGAACTTTTTTTTGGATTTTTATTGACAACAAACGTACAAGAATTTTAGCTATAAATTTTAAGGACAAATCAGGGTAATACCAAATTAAATAACTTTACATGTTTTTGCCGCAGGTGGTTTATCGGATGGAGAGGCGACCCGTGGACCGACCCGTGGCCGACCTTCACGTCGTGATGATCCGCGTCGTCATACACTCGCTGGAAACCATACAATTTATATGCACCAACACCATTCGGGGCATATAAGCACTATTGATATAGAAGTAAGATCGTCTTAATACTATTTGTATTTATTTCCTTGGCTCAATATTTCTATTTTAAAATGTAAATAAACAAACCAAAGAATGATGTTAAAATTATTATTAGTAAAGTCTCTAAATATTGCCTATTGTATAAATTATAGGATAGATCAAATACAAGACGTTTTTTTGCGAAGTTAATAATTCTTTATATTTCAGTGAATATTTTCTCTATAAACAAATTAAATAAATTTTAAGAATCAGTAGAGCTTCGAAATTCTTAATCTAGTACACGTGTCTAATTAGGTGATATTTCAGTTATATTATATTTTTTTATACTTTAGTAAAAAAAAATTGTTTTTTAATTTGATCATTAACTTACTTCTTCACATAAGTCCTTATACCTTGCAATACGCTTCAGCGGCACAAAGGTACGCCGATTCTAATGCACGTCGCACAGTATTCAACTGTCGCTAAAAATGGTGACATGAAGCAGACCAGAGTCTTAGATCCCGGTATGAGAAAGGTATAATTGTCAGAATACAATATCTTACTACTTACTAACTTAATAGTACTAAATATAACATCTGAATAACATGAGTATAAATAATAACTTTAATGAATAACAACAGAGCTCGGTACTATTTTTAATTCAATAACGAATAAAGTATAATTAATATACAATCGATGTATTTGGCCATGTTTTCAAAGCCTTTATTAGAGTGTTGCTATTTTTATTATATGTGTGGGGAATAAACTGGCTAGGCCTCTAATTGGCAATAAGCGAAAGTACAATGCTACAAAAGATCCTTAAACGTGTATAAGCGAGAGCTGTACACAAGAAACATGAAATAAATTAAAGTATGAGTAATAACAATAAAAATATTTAACATGCTTACTCTTAACTGCTATTACTAACTGAAGGGTACAGCCAAAGAATCATTTTTTTTTGTTTTGTTCTGAAAGTCTATGGTACTCGTAGTTGCATTCCCAACCATTAGTTTCTACAAATACTTTATTAGGACATTCCCTGTTCTTTGCCTGTACCTTCAACTATTCTTAGAGTTGATATATTTCTTTAATTAGATACTTTTTGTGAAAATTTAGTGTGATGGTTTTATAAATTTATTTTATTATTCATTTATTTATTTTATTTTATCTTAAGCGACACGCGAACTATCGTTATTTTATCGCTTTGTACTTCGGTAATTTGTCATTTATAAAATAAACAATAAATAAAATAAACAATAAAAAAAATAATACACGCTAGGATATTACCCGAGGCTAAATTGCGCAGGTAAATTGGATTGTGTGTGGCAGACATCTGTACAGTGTTAATGAAATGTTTGCTCGGGCTTACCGTAGGTTTAATAATAATATGAGTGTTCTCTAATAGATATTGTATTGCAGCCTCCTCTACCTCGTTATCCTCCATCAAACAATGCGTTGCTCTTCGACGATGACCCTGGTGTTATGTCCGAGGTTGAAACATCATCAACAGGATTCCGCAGGGGCGGTAAGCAGCGCTCGTCACTACCTGTAGTCAGAACACCGTCAAAGACTTTGGAAAGGCCTCTTGGTAAGAATTATGCTAGAATAATGTACTTCTTTTTTACAATAAGTATCATACCAACTAAGTACAAAAATAATATATACAAAATGCGGCCTAAGAGTCCAAAACTTTCCATTATTATATTATATGTATATTACTGTGCATTTATTAGATCGCTTACTTTTATCCTTATTTAAAAATGTTCACGTTGTACTTTAAAAATAGGTAAAAACCATAGCGGGTACTTTCATAATCACATGGCAATCTTTTATCCCTTTAACAAAACAAATAGCGGCAACTACAAGCCAGGCACTGTACGGTGAATGTCAAATATCAAATTGTTAATGTAAATGTCAATTTCAGTGTGACTTTATGGATAAAGCCACACTGAAACAGCAGATTTCTCAATTGCAGCAGTATAGACAGGGCTGGTTTTACCCTAGGGACACTCGGGGCTAGTGCCCAGGGAGGCAAATTTTCAAGGGCAGCAAAATTCAGAGGGTGAAAAAAAATATCTTAATGTTATCGAAAATTCTTTTTGTATTTTGTAAAGAAAAAATACTAGTACATTTTTCGAAAATTTGCAAACATTAATCAATTTTTTGCACTTAGCAAAAAAAAATAATAATTAAAAGATATTAAACTTTATTGAAACTATTCATTTTATGCAAAATTTCGAAAATGGGGCGGCATTTTTTACAGTGCTCAGCAGCGGCGCTAAGGTTGAATCCGGCATTGGGAATCTATAAACGTGTATTGTCATGAGAAGCCGCATATTATCTTGACTAAGCGTTCTCTCTATGAGATTACTACCTGATTGCTATTCGTGATTGCTCAAAAAGCTTATCAAATAATATGACCCGTTTTTTCATTTCATTTCTATTAACAATATTGGATCATAATCACTTAATACCGTAATATATCAAGGATTATACACCATCTTTTGTAGCTGCCTCTTGTTTTATCATAACATCGCTATACATTCGACTCCTATTGATAGGGTATCGTAGCATTTTACATAAGCTAGCTACATCGCAATAAACATTATCTTCATTTTATTGTAATTTAATGCTTAAGTGGATCGACGATAATCTGGCTTAATACTAAGCATTGTTAAGATTAACCATACGGCATTTTAAACATTTAAGGTTTTGTGAAACTATTGAAAATGTCTATTTTCAAACCAAAAAACAAACTAATACTGGAAAAATGTCAATTACCATAAAATAGATAGAATACCTTTAACAGCTGACATTTTAATTATAAAATAAAAAGCTTTTATTACGTCCTACTAATATTATAAACGCGAAAATTTGTAAAATTGTATGTATGGATGTATGTTTGTTACTCTTTCACAGAAAAACTACTGAATGGATTTTGATGAAACTTTGCAATAATATTGCTCATACATCAGAATAACAAATAGGTTACTTAATACTTTTTTAGCTTTACGTCAATATGTGACATTTTAAATAAAACTATTTTTTCGGATTTTTTCGCGGAAACTGTAAACATAGCCAGGATCGCCCAAGCCACTACATTCGCTTTGATAGTCCAGAAATACTCGCGAAAGAGAACCGTTATCGCCCCAGGATGATCCGCGAAGCTATTGAAATTAAAAAATATCCAAACCTCAATAGGGAAGATGGCTGGGTACTACCATCACCTTGGTATCCCGTAATAAACATAATAAAATCTAACAACAAAAACAAATACAACAGACCAGTAGATGTGGTTAGTTCATAATGTGTAGATCGCAATAATAACAGTAATTCTGATTAATATTTTTTGTCTATAAAGGTAGCAATAGTGTTGCTTAATATTTTAACTTCAAATAATAGCAATCTAAATTTATGTGTTCACTTTTATTTAAATTACATATAAAACAATATTATTGCTTAAATAAATACTTAATATTTTTGATTTTTAATATCCTTTATGGTTATACATAATATAATAATAGCAACACTAAATAATATTTGTAATGGTGAGCCGCTACTTTAAAATATTTCTATTACATATTCATATAAGTTTACTGATACTTAACTTTTTTTTCCATATCTTAGTTGCCAAAAAATATTTCAGGCCAGAAGAAACTTTTTTACAGAACTGAGTAATGTGTATAGAGAAAAATTAACTCATAATATCTGCGTTTTCTGTGAGATATAGTTAAAGACGTTGTGCTTCTAGGTTTAACTAATCCATTTGGCAAGGTATTTTAGACAGCCGAATTTTACACAAATCTTAGCAGAATTTACTAGAATAGTGTAACGTTGAAATTTTATTTTATTATAATCTAGTTTGACTAGTCTGACCTGATTTGGCTATAGCAATTAATGTGTTTAGACTTCTAATAAAAGGTGAGACGCAAGTATTTTGTGAATTTTATTGTTTATTGTGAAAAAACGATGAGAAAATAACTCCTTTAAATTAGAATAAATATAATAATAAGAATAGGTTATTTAATATATTTTTCTCCTATAATGGAATAGTAGATATAATCATAATAATAAACTATAAAAAATACTTTCATAAAATATGATAAGCTGTATTCTAGAGATTTCCAATTGCACGATATTATGTTTGGTTTTTTTAAGTGCACAAATCTAATCATTTTAATACAAGAGCATTTTAAGAAATACGATTTCAAATTTAGAATTCAAGAATATACCTTTGGAATTCTTGTATGTGGTTCCTAGCAATAAGTATGTTTATGTTTCACTAAATGTGTTTTCTTATATTGTGTTGTATTATATGCCTGTCCTAAACATTTGATCATCTTTTTAACCGACTTTCAAAAAGGAGGAGGTTTTCAATTCGTCGGAATCTTTCTTTTTATGTATGTTCACCGATTACTCGAAGACGCCTGAACTGATTTGGTTTTTTTTTGTTCCAAAGGATATACTTCCCAGGTGGTCGGTCCCATATATTTTAAGATATATCAGATTTGCTTTGCATCGGCTGGCACCGACTTCGAAAATGTCTGATTAGGTATCTATTCTAAATGAAAACCCTCGTTTAGTTATTTTTTACATTTTAGTGCCTGGAAGTAGTTTTTTTTTAAGTTTTATTTCTCCACTGATGGCGTCAATAGGTACGGTTGCAGGTTTTCAGATAGTTGTTGTTTAAAACTTTTTATTGAAACTGAGCTGTTAGACGTTCAAACTCTTTTAATTTCTTAATAATTTTAATTCCAGCTAGTGTGTAACGAATGTATATGTAGTAGGGAAATTGTAAGATCCGTTAAATTATAATTTCACTAGTGAAATTATCTCCTTTTATCTATACCTCAGTTAAATTGTCAATAGTAGCAATACCAAAATGTGGTGGGAAGCCTCGGCTCCTTTTGATCTGTCACTGATCGCAGTGAATCGACCAATCAAAATTTTTTGAAACCAAACACATAATTTCGATATAGAGCAAAGAAAGTACCACAACACGTGTTAACATTTTCATATGTATAGAATTTAAGTAGACTACTGTTTTTTAAGAAAATTTAGATTTTATTTATAAGTGATTTTTAATTTTCGATAAGGTGACAGATCAGACAGATTGAAAAAACTAAGGCGTACTCGTTAGGTGTTTTTTAATTTCAAAGCCAGATCCCCTACTATCAAAAATAAATATAATATTTTGAACGTGAACAAGGAAAAAAACTTAATAGTGATGTGATAAAATATGTCATCGCCGGTAATGTAAATTATTCCGAGTGAAAACTATTATCATATTTGAATAAATTTAACACCTATTGAACCTATGAATAATAATAAAATCATTAATTATAATTAATTAGAAATACTATATTTCTATTCCTTTATTTTACTAAGTCTATGGTTCATGCTGAGCATCAAAAAGATGTTTAAATCGGACTAATCAGTCAAAATTTCATTGACAATACTCCGGGTAATAATAATTTTACGGTTTTTACAATTTTTTACAAGTTTTTACAATCATAATATATTACTTTTGAAAATAAATCATTTTAAACGTGTCGTCTTAAATATACAAAAAATAAAATAAATAAAACATAAGAAACTCAATACAAATTGACCTTCTAAGTTGGAGTGGGTGTACACCGAAACATTATTTTATTTTAGACGTTTCACTTCCCAATTTAGACACTTCTGCGATTGGATTAGAAATCATCAGTTAGACAAAAGTAGAATATATTTAGAAAAGGTTTTACTTATACTTGTATTAATAGGTTTTCATTACTCATTTTTTACCTTTCAATATTAAATTAATAACTTGTAAAAGGGAAAGCCTTTTAAAAATCAAATCAATAACTTACAAAAGTAGAAGTAAGCTAAAATAAAATTATCTATTTTGCCAGGTCTCGTTTTTCTACAGTACAGAAATGAAACTAAGCGGGCATTATTGCCTAATGAAATTACGTCTATAGACACCGTGAAAGCTCTCTTCGTCCGAAGTTTTCCAAAGCAGCTTACGATGCAATACATGGATAGTGAAAACGTCAAGATATACATACACGAAAATACGAAAGACATGTTTTATGAACTAGAGGATGTGAGGTGAGTTTAATTTATTTCCAAACAAATGTTTTTTATACAGCCATGAAATGCTTACACAGTTGGTTTAACCCCGTTTGTGTAAAAATCGGCTATTTATACAAGTCTCAGACTCGCGCGCCGGACGTTCCGTACCACTACCTACATTGTAATTACATTATATATTTTTTTAATTTATATTGAATTTTGATGGAAACCTTAGCGCGTTTCAATTTTTTATTACTAGTTACTTTACTTTACAATGTATACTGTAGTCATACTTGCTAATCTGTATTATTGTTTTAATGACTCGAAAAAATTATATTTAAATAATTTTAGATAATATTTGAATAATTTCATTAATTTATTAATTTTAAATAAAATCACTATTGGGACTTAAGGAATTTCAAGGTAAAATACGGAGAGCACCATATGATTTTATTTATGCAGCGTAGACCTTTTTTCCGCTCGTACTGATTTACGTTAATTCCTTCTAAATAACTATAAATAAAGTTATATAACTATAAGCGAAGTCCGCCAACCCGCACTTGGCCAGCGTGGTGGACTATGGCCTGATCCCCCTCGTATTGAAGGGAGGCCCGTGCCCAGCAGTGGGACGTCAAAAAGGACTGAATACAAAATAAATAAGCACATCTTTTTTGATAAATAGTATATCTGATCCTGTTCATGTCGTTTATTTTTATTTTACAAAAAGTAAAAAAAAATACCGTTTGAGATTTTTTTGGCATTTATGGACTTCATTAATATAAATGTTGACGATTAAACTTAAAATTAAATTTATTATTAAAATAAAATATAAATTACAATAATAATATATGTATAAAATTCTAAAATTCTATTTAATTATGAGGTGAATAGGGCGTTCCCGCCTTGCGCGGTAGTCGCTGTTCAACGCGACAGAGCTATAGCTTCAGTATATATCGAGGCCGTGTTCCCTCCATACGAGAAGAGCGCGGAAAACTTATATATACATTCTAACTTAACTGACTGAGTGATCATCATGAAGAAAAAAGAAGGCATTATTCATGTACACGACGAAAGATGCCCGTAAGTTTTAGATTACTCCCAACTAATTCGTTTGCGACGAAGGTAAATAAACAATGTGGCTCACGGCACCTGTTTGTTTTGACGCGCCACTTATAAAATTCGGTGTTTGTATTATCTACAGAATTATTTTTCGTTTATCACGTAGATTTTTTTAATATTTTAGTAACATATTCCTTATTTTTTATGCAGGTAAATTATGTGACAGACACGTCGGATATTAAGTTTTATTTATTAGCTTATGAATATAGTTCGAAGCCATTTGTTTTGTTTTGAACAATTTGGTTTTTTTTCTGGTAATTGAATCCACTATCTCCCTGGTATCTTTGATAAGCCTTCGTGTAGTATAATGTTAAAATAACTGATATTATACAAAATGTATTAATGTATGAGAGAAACATTTTTACCAACATTTCAATATTTTCTTCATGTTCATTTAATGCGGGATATGTTGAATAACAATCTCTGATCTCATGATGTCTAAACACGTTATAGTTATTGTTTATGTGGAGAATTGGACTGGAAAACTTAACTCAGGCGTCATCGATTAATGCGTGGGTGCACATTTTCCTATGTACACGTACGTGACTAATAAGTTATTTTTTTCTTAATCTATTGTGTAACAAAACAAATATCTATACATATAATAAAATTCTAATTAAGCTGAATCTGTACATTAAATATTTTTTAGAAAATCTTATTGAAATAATCATTACTATCGATACAGAGGCCGAATCTATAGTTTTTAGAATTTTTGTATGTCTGTCTGTCTGTCTATCTGTCTGTCTGTCTGTCTGTCTGTCTGTCTGTCTGTCTGTCTGTCTGTCTGTCTGTCTGTCTGTCTGTCTGTCTGTCTGTCTGTCTGTCTGTCTGTCTGTCTGTCTGTCTGTCTGTCTGTCTGTCTGTCTGTCTGTCTGTCTGTCTGTCTGTCTGTCTGTCCGTCCGTCCGTCCGTCCGTCCGTCCGTCCGTCCGTCCGTCCGTCCGTCCGTCTGTCTATTACCACATCACAGAAAAACCACTGGAGAGATTTTAATGAAATTTGGTATGGTGATAGCTGGTTGTTTGGGTCAACATATAGGATACTTTTTACCGCGGGAAAATATCTCATTTCTGAGAAAAAATACAAAAACTGCAATGTAAGAAGAGTATACTAATATGTATAACCTTAGAATTTGATTTTTGGTCACCTGAACGCGGGCGGAGCCGCGAGCAATGCTAGTATGATATAAAGAATTATATTTATGGCATAATAAATGATTGTATTAAATTATGCAATGTTAATTTACCCGACTGTGGCGAAATCCAAAGGAAGGTTATGTGTTTGACATGTATGTACGTTGTACATATGTCCCACCCTATGTTCCCTCGTAATTACTAAACGGCTTAAACGATTTTGATGATCGTTAGATTAATCTTTATAACGCGAGTGTCATAGAGTATATAGATATCGTTAAAAATCAAAATGACGAATCCTAGGCGCCAACTTGTGATTTTTGTCTGTTGTGAAAAAAAATCCGTCGGAAACCGTCAAGTTGGGTATCCAAAATACACATCGTATATTTTTTAAAATAATTTAGGATAAGAAATGATTAAATAATACTAAATATGTTTAACACCTCCATGTAAATTTCTAAGAAATTAATTAAATTTCTAAGAAATCTATTGTTAACTGTAACGCCGGCGTGTCCGCAGTCGTGGAGGGATTAACTGACCAAAACTAAAAAGCTGTAAATAAACAATTTACAAAAATAAAAAATAAACCGACTGCGTAAAAAGCGAATTAAAAAGATGCGATAAAGTTGACAAGGAACGTAGTATTATGCCGTCGGAGACATACATAGTTTTTACTAGCTAACTGCACTGCTGCTGCAGTAGTTGCGAGTCTTGCTACGTGTGTGTCTTTTTACTACTTATTATCTAATTATCTATTTTTGCGCGCGCAATACATATAAATACAATCAATCCCAAATGATTTTCTTACTTTACGGTTAGCCGTGAATCTTGACTTAAATATAAACAAGATTAATTTCAATTAGTAACGCTTTAAAGTGACAGCTTGAAAGCCGAAGGTAATTATTGTCTGGCTGCGTATCAGCCTAAAGAAATGGAAACCATGGGGTGCAAGAAGAATATTAAATAGATAGAAAAAATAAAGACCTTCATAAAGTTTTAATAATAATTAGCATCTCACCCTACGTTACGTACGTTAACGTATCAGATTTCATCAAAATCAATCCAGTGTTTTTCTCGTGATACGGTCCCAGACAGACAGACAGGCAAACAAAAATTATATAAACTATAGATTCGCCTTCTGGATCGATAATATTGACTCTTGCAATAAAATTTTCCAAAAAAATATTTAATGTAAAGATTCGACTCAGAATTTTATTATAATACTAGCGACTCACCCTCGCTCCGCTTGGGTTCGTCCCTAGTGAAAATTTAGGTTTGTATGTATTTTTTAATACCGAATCAAACATTTTTTTTGAAGTGAACCACTCTTATCACTTAGGGGTATGGAAAATAGATAGTAGCCGATTCTTAGACCTACTGAATACGCATTTAAAATTTCGTAAAAATCGGTAAAGCCGTTTCGGAGTAGTACGGTAACTAACATTGTGACATGGAAATTTTATATATTAGATGTTATATGCTTCGTTTATTCGTCTAAATAAGTATGATAATTAACATATTAAAAATTTACCGCTGAATTATATTTATCTTCTATGCGTGATATTACTCAAATGCACAAGCTAAAAAAATATTAAGTTGTTTTAAAAATAATTTCACTTTTAATATGTTGGTAGTATACAAGCAGGAAAACTATCACTTAATTTTTTTTTTGATATCCTTACTATATGAAAACGCATTGGTAGCCGAGTGAAGCGGGTTCAAATTCCGGATCTTGCACGTTGCTTATTTTCATGTGCGAATCATTTCTATCATGATTACCACTTGCCTTATGGTGAAGGAAAACATGGTGAGGAAACCTGCATGTCTAAGAGAACCTAGCAAGTTTTCGGAAGACATGTGAAGTCCGCCAACCCGCGCTTGGCCACCATGGTGGACTATTGCCTGATCCCAAACGTATTGAAGCGAGGCCTGTGCCCAGCAGTGGGACGTTAAAAAGTTAAAAAGTATTTAAGTAAAAGTAAATCTATACATAATTTTCCGTGCTGCTGTTAATATAAAGTTGGCACATCAATTTAATAAGAAATACCTCTCTTTTAATAGAAACTATAGTTATAGAAACTATAGTTAATTGCAACTAACCCATTAACTAATAATAAGGCCTTAAGATTATTAGAGAGCTGTTATCAGACATATCAACTATTACGACTCTCCCTTGCTGTGATTTGTATCTTAATACGAACTTAATATATTTTTCTGGGATAAAAAGTAGCCTAAGTGCTATTCCAGATATAATCTATATCTGTGCCAAATTTCGTCCAAATCCGTTCAGCCGTTCTGGCGTGATTGAGTAACAAACATCCATCCAAACATCAAAACATCTAAACTTTCATATTTATAATAAATGTAAGATTTAAAGTTTAATTTACCTCCCTTATAGGTTGTTATAAAAGAAAATACTCCTTATATAGTTTTAACTTCTAGTTAAAAAAAACGAATGATATGTATGTACATATATGTACTTTTGTAATTATTATTGATCCTTTTTATTCGACTATAATTATTATTACTATCATTTATTTAATGGACTAATAACAAAATTACAGTCAGTGAAGATAATTGCAGGTCATGATTTAAGTGACTGAATTAATGTTAAATGACAGATGATATAGTATGTCACGCGCTTTCGCCAAGCTTTCGTCTAAAGCGTAGCTTTAATTAAGTTATATGTAATTTTAAGTGGCAATATAGGTCGATGTACCATTGCTCATTTGATAGAAACACGGTTTAATGTGTACAGCGCTCGTCTTTTAGAATAATGTCGAAG